TCATTGTGCCGTTTCTAACTACAGTAGTTATTCAGTTTATTACCTATCATAATACCGGCCACATTCGCAAATTATTTGCGAAACAAATTAGACTAAATCAAAAGTTAATTTACTAATTTCAAATTCATTGCAAATCTTATTCTTCTAAGGCACACTCCAAAGGGCAAATTTTGCAGACTGCCCTCTTCAGAATTCCAGTTGAGGTTCGAAGGCTAACCACTCGGGTAACTACGTCAGCTCCGGGATGAAGCTCAAGGATGCGGGCCAGTGGCCAGCGGGCAGGAGGAAGAGAATCATCTTTCACGATGACGACGTCACCGATGCTGAGCTGCACAGCAAAAAAATAATTTTGATATCGCATCAAAGTGGATGCACTACATTCATGTCGAAAATTTCATGTAATTTTTATGACCACATAAATAAACAAATGCAGTAAAAGCAGCGTAATGTCAGTTCATGCATTGTATTAATGATAATTTTGTCCTTTTTAGCAAGTAATATTACACCATATTTTCGACATGATAGTAGTGCATCCACTTTGACGTGATATCAAAATTATTTTTTTGCTGTGTGGTAACGCTTCGGGTTCTGTAGGTTCAGCTCCTTCAAATATTCATTTCGCCAACGGTGCCAAAAATCTTGCGAGTGCTTCTGAAGCTTTTGGTACTGGCTAAGCCGGTTGAACGGAACATTTTGGATGTCTGCTTCAGGAAGAGGGCGGATCATATTTCTCACCAAGAAATGCGCTGGGGTGAGGGCGGCAAGATCATTCGGGTCGCTCGAAAGCGGCAACAGCGGACGAGAGTTCATGCACCCTTCGATTTTAATCAGCACTGTGGACATCTCTTCGAAGGACAGCAAAGAAGAGCCGAGTTGACGAACGAGGTGAGTTTTGGCAACCTTCACTGCCGCCTCCCAGAGGCCACCGAAGTTAGGAGCACGAGGAGGGATCAAGTGCCACTGAATGCTGTCGTTTGACGATCTTGTTGTTGTCGGGACCGGGTTGGAGCATAGTGTACAGGGCGTGCAATTCATTTTTCGCCCCGATGAAGTTTGTGCCGTTGTCTGAATACAAGTGCTGGGGCTTATTCCTCCTCCAAACGAACCGATCAAGTGCCATCAGGAATGCGGCTGTACTCAGGTCACTCACGAGCTCCAGGTGGACCGCCTTTGTGCTCATACAAACGAAAATGCAAATGTAGGATTTGCGGGCAGCTGCTTTGCGATGTGTTGGCTTGAGGAAAATGGGACCACAATAATCAACGCCGGTGCAGGCGAAGGCTTCGTTGGCGGTAACACGGGCGATCGGAAGTTGACCAATCGGTTGCTGAATGGGTTGCGGATTTGCTCTGCTGCACTCGTAGCACTTTCGTATGACACTTCGAACTGCTTTCCGGCCATTCAGCGGCCAGAATTCATCACGGACGACGGACAGGGTCATCTCAATTCCACCATGGACAAACTTGCGGTGATGGTGCTTCAAAAGAAGATGTGTAAAGAGGTGAAAACCGGGGCTGACAATCTGGTGTTTTACGTTATACGGTGCATCGGACAGCCGCAACCGGCCACCCACACGGATCAAGCCATCAGCGTCGATGAACGGGCTCAGCAGGCGAAAAGAAGATTTGTTCGTGACCATCTGTCCTTTCTTCAAACGCTGCAGGTCTTCGGGGAACGATCCAGCCTGAACTATCCGCACGAGAACTAATTTGGCGTTTTGCAATTCGGCAACGGAAAGAATCCTACTGGAATGTCGCTGCTTTTTGTTGCGAGCATTGTGGCAGAAACGAAGGCAATATCCAACTGTGCCAAGCAGGGTCTGGAACGATGAAAATGTTTCGAAAAGCGGGTTTGATGTGAGCACTTGGGTAGTCAAGATCAAATTCTTCTTCAGCTCCAATTCTTCGTCGGTGAACTTGTTGTCTAGGCAGGCTTGAACAGGCCACTTTGATTTTTCTTCACCCAGCCACCTGGGTCCATATTTCCATAGCTCACTGGTGATCAAGTCTTCGGCGGAGACTCCTCGCGAGATCATATCAGCAGGGTTTTCGTTCCCGGAAATATGCTGCCATTGTGATCCATGAGAGAGGGTTTGGATTTCGGCGACACGATTCGCCACAAACGTCTTCCACGTTCGTGGGGGGGGCTTTCAGCCACTGGATAACTATCGTTGAATCAGACCAGAAGAAACATCCAGAGAACTTCATATCCAATGCGGCGTCGACCTTTTCAAACAAACGGGAGGCAAGCAGCGCGGCACAAAGCTCTAGGCGCGGGATGCAGAGCGGTTTCAATGGGGCAACCTTTGACTTTGAAGCAAGCAAGCTCACTTGTACACACCCTTCAGAGGTTTCGGAGCGGACGTATATGCATGCGCCGTAGCCTACTTCTGACGCGTCTGCAAAGCAGTGCAATTCAGCAATGCGATAGCCGGGAATGAACGCATACCTTTCGATACAAAAGTTGGAGAGGTTTGGAAGTTGTTCGCAGAATTGATTCCACTTACTTTGCAAGTCGGGTGATACTTCTTCGTCCCAATCCAATGCCGACAAGCCACAGTTGCTGCATGATAATTTTCGCCTGAACTACGACGGGTGCGATGATCCCAAGCGGATCGTATAACTGTGCGATAGCTGATAGAATGTTACGCTTTGTGGGCGTTTGGTTTTTCACGGCCGGCGATGGAGACATCAAAACGGAGAACATCTGCCTCGGGATCCCAGCGTATTCCAAGGGTCTTGATTATTTCTCCAGGATCGAATCTCAGCGACGAATGAGTCCCAAGAACATCAGGAGGGAGTCCAGATAAAACGGGAAGCGAATTGGAACACCATTTTAAGGAATTTTAAAGGTACTACCATTTTTTAAATTCATCAAGAAATGGCTAAGCTATGTCAATGCAAACTTGCTGTAACACGTTTTCCGGAGGCATCGTATTCGGAGTGTTAACGAAGAAGGTAAGTTAGTGGATTGAGGGAAGGGAAGGAAGGTTGGCGAATATTCACAGTTCATTTAAAATGTAATAAATGTGTATGGATGATTGAAAATCCGGCCATTTTTCAAAATGGTGTCTTTGCCATTTTTAATATATTGTAGCCGAAAACTTCACTTCTGATCGAAATGACGTCTGAGACAAAGTTGTAAAGAATAATAATGGCTTTCTGGGAAAAATAAAAGAAAAATATATTCAAAATTAAGGACATTTGAAAAGTGACAAAAATAGTTGAACAAGATTGTTTGCACTTTAACTAGGGGAAACAGTCCTATCGTTGCGGTACGTTAGAAGCGTTAGAAGCCAATTATTGTGTATGGAGACCTCCATACACAACAATAGGCTTCTAACGCTTCTAACGTACCGCAATAAAAGGAGTGTTTCCCCTAATCATGTTTTTATTACTTCGTGCGTGAATTTAACAATTTACATACTTAGAGATGCTTAACGTCAAATATTAAACTTAAAATGGACATTTTACACGATAAAAGAGAAGATAAGAATAAAAAACAGACTCACATATCAACTTTACTTCTTTAAATGCAGACTTGAGCGATTTTGTCGGAACAGGTGCCATTTCTACACAGTTCCAAAAAATAGTGTAAATTTTTGTTCAATACGATGCACATAAACGGAGCGTCACATATCATATAAGTTAACATTATAAGTCGTGTAATGTTCTTAGACATTTCATGAAATGATGCAATTATTGTGTACAAATGCCAATCTTTGTAAAGAATTTTGTTTACAAGTTGCTCGTTTGCGTGAATGTATCTTTACATCACAATTAAAATTCAGAATTTTTTGCTGTGTGGGCAAAGTGATCAATTTCCTAGATTAAACAATACGAAAATGATCAGAAAAAGCTTAACCTTCACTAATGCTTTCCAATATGGAATAGCGCAACTAGACACCAATTTTTCCTAAAATTCATGTTTTGTACCAACAACTGCCATAAATCAAAGCGACGACGGCAGTTTTCCCCGTGCAGTAACATTCCCGAAGTGAACCGGGGAACGGAAACGGGACTGTTTGTTTTGAACCGTTTTCCAGTTCGGTTCAGATTGTCCCAGTAGCTAGGTACGTAGTTATATAAATTTGCATAATTGTGTCATTCTTCTTGTGCGCTCGCGACGGTTCGTTTCCCTCAGGACAGAAACGGGGTACCCCTACAAGAAGCTCCACACATTGCTGGCACTACTGACTGTAGCGTCGTCGTCGGCATTAGAAAACGAATGGTAACAAGGACGAGACGAAATGCATTCTTACGTCGCCGTCGTCGTTGGAGAGGAACGAACCAGAAATTGAATCCAACTGAATTATCATAGATAATGGCACGACGGCCACACAACCGAGTCCAGATGTATCTACCTATTCGTCGTCGTCGTCGTCGTCGTCGTCATTCTCGTTGGCTGAGACTTTCAGTTCCGGCAGCAGCAGCAGCAGCAGCAGCGAATAGAACAAATGTTTGCTCAAGCCTTTTTTACGTTTGCAAATGGGTTGCATTTCTGCTCGCAATGTGTGTCTCGGGGAAAGTCAGATACTTGTACGAAACTCCGCCGTACAGCAGCGAATGCAAAACGACAGCAGCAGTCTAATCCCGAACGCAAATAGAACTGCGACTATAAAATGTTAAATAAATACAGCCAAACATAAATTGTGTAGGATTTCTGCGTCCAAGTGCAGCAGCGGGAAAAGAAAACTGCCAGGACGTCCAAGCGAAGGAAAATGGCTATCCCGGTTTTGTGCGCCAGGCAATCGAGCGATTGCCGGACAATCGGGGATAATCTGAGAGGATTCTTTCTTATCTCGCACATTCGTTCGGATTTTACGGTAGATTAGATGGCAGTTTCGCAATCAAATTGAGGATGTCAATTTTCTGTACTCTTTTCCTACATGCATAGAAAATCCCACGAGCATTCCAAATCTTCTAGAAAGTAAGGACTTCTGCTGAAACCCGTTCTTTTTTGGTTATATTATTAAGTGCAGGAAGAGGTTCTACTTACACCGAGATGGATTGATGTGATTGTCCTTCTGGATCGTGAAGTCCTTTTTTTTTTAGGTGAACGATTTCAAAAAGCTGTAAAAAAGAGAAAAAATTTCGTGAATGATTGCCGAGTACCAATTAAATATGATCGCGAATACGAAAATTCCACCATCAGTAATTGACAGTCGTGACCCACATATGAGAATTCACGTTTCATCATGGCAATCAATGGAAACACTAACCGAGGGGGCTCCACAGTTGGATCTGAAATCATTAAAATTTTACGCTCGTTCAACCCCCTAGCGCTTTCCCACCCAGCATCGCATCCCGCAGCGTGAATGCGCTGAATTAATATTGAAACAAAGAATAATAACTGTAACGAAGCGAAAACTATACTTGCTATTTCCCCGAATATAAAACCACAGCTGGGAGAGTGCTGGAATGGCAAACAAACAACAACAAAAAACCAGAACCTCACTTTTCCCATGAGTGGAAAATGTGCAATTATTCAATTTCAAATATTGTTCACGGGCTGCAACCGATGGGTCCCCAACACATGGCGCGGTCACTTTGCGGACGATGATGGAAAATCAAACATATTTTGAAGCGATTAATATTGTTTTAAACACGAAACGGGTGAATAATTTTAGCTCGAAGGTGAAGGTGGTTGAGGTGGCGATCAGGGGTGGTTGATATTTATTGCGGTCCAGGTAGGGAATGCCACAATTGGAATTGTTGGGTGCCAGTTTCAGTTGAAACAGAAGTAATCATTTCGGGATGAGCTGACCGCAGTTCCGAGCCGCAAACTGGTGGGCAATTATTTGTGTCAACATTTTAAGATTTGCGATTACTGATAAAGGAAAATGGCTTGTGATCGGAATTCACAATGATTACAGCAGATTGCCGACGCAGCTTAATTCCACTGAAGAAGCGAGATTTGAGCTCCGTCGAAGGCGTACAGTTGAATTGTTGTTGTTATTCATATCGTCGTGATTTTGCGCTGTTAAATTTGATGGTTTTTTATATCACACGGGTTATCGTTCTTCGTTTATCCCGTTCTGTAGGCTTGCAAAATTGTACCGGTTGTTAGTGGAAAGTGCAGTTCGCTGCAGTCTATTTGGAGCATATTTCGTGTAAAGAAAACAGTGAAAAAGTTATCTAATCGGACATCATGTAGTGTTTACTATTGTGTTATTGTCGATATGAGACGCTCTGTAGAATGCAACTCCTCCTTGCGTATTAGAGCATCTCCACCGCTGTATCCAGAGTAGCCAGATTGTTTTTTCCATTATCGGTAGCTTCTCAAAACTTTTATCGGTAGTTATCGGTAGGTCGTCTAAAGAAGGCTTTCCCGATACTTGAAACCTTTGTGAGCGGGGGAGGCGACTCTGCTCCAGAACAATAAGCTGTCCTTCTGTTCTTCAGCGAAATCAATAATTATGACCACACGGAAAACAAAACACAGGTATTGAACATTTTTCAAGATTTCTAAAGATCTGTGCTTCTCGGTAGGATAAGTGAAAATCGGTAGTTTTGAACCTTTCGTCTGTGAATCGGTAGGCATCCCGAAATTTGGTAAATCGGCAGGACTACCGATAAATCGGTAGGTCTGGCCACCCTGAGTAGAATGCCTACTGCCAAATCATTCCACACAGCAAAAAAAAAATGTGATATCGATCAAGCAGCAGCAGTTTCGATGTAATATTCAACATTTTTTTTTGCTGTGCACTGAGCTTCAGAGCTTGTGAGCGAAGGGGGATAAAATGAGAATAAGGTTTGCTGCCATTCATGTTTATGTTTTCTATCACACACTCTTACTATCACTCTGGGTGAACTCTGAGCTTCTTGCGTCGAACAAAAAAGTCATCCGGAGTCTCGAAAAGCGCACCTCACGCAGGGTGGCCAGATTATTTTTTTTTTCATTATCGGTAGCTTCTCAAAACTGTTATCAGTAGTTATCGGTAGGCCGCCTGAAGAAGGCTTTCCCGATACTTGATACCTTTGTGAGCGGGGGGGGGGGGGGGACTGTCCTTAAGTTCTTCTGCTAAACGTATCGAAATCAATAATTCTAATTTCTTATGTTTATTTTGACTACTAGGAAAACAACACATAGGTATTGAACATTTTTTAAGATTACTAAAAATCTGTAATTCTCGGTAAAAAAAAATGAAAAATCGGTAGTTTTTAACCTTTTGTCTGTGAATCGGTAGGCATCCCGAAAATCGGTAGGACTACCGATAAATCGGTAGGTCTGGCCACCCTGGCTGTTTCTAAATTAGTTTGTGAAACTGAGTCAGCATGACTTCCGCCTATGGAAAATTCGAGAGGAATTTTGAAAAATGTAGCGCTCTGAAAATAACGCAGTAAACGTTTAATTAACTGTATTTCCCCAACAAAACACATCGCTGAATGTATTCAAACGATTCCGTAGACATTTCAGCTTCAATCTAATTACAGGGTTAAGGCTGAGCAATCCTATTATGTCAGGTTTTACCTCAAATGAAATACACGCACTACAAAATACGATTGAATTAGAACTACTTCAGGGAAATTCAGGGAAAAAACTTCGTGGAACGTCAAGAAAGAAAATCAACACTACTAGTGCAGCGAACTTAGTTGTTTGAGAAACTTCATAAATCATCAAGAAGGTACAGGGAATTTCGTAAAAAGTTCATCGAACTTCGTAGAAGTCAAATGCACAGTAAACTTCATAAAGGGTGATACGGTCAAAATTTGGTCAATATCAACTTGACGTATTTCTTTCAATTTTGCATTTAAAAAACCTGAAAACCCCTCATTTTGAAGGTGTGTGTGTGTAGAATGTTGCTCCTATTTTGATTTTGGAATTTACTCTTCAGTTGTCAAAATGCCGTCCAAGCAAGAAGAGCAGCGTATCAAAATTTTGCTCGCGCATCGCGAAAATCCGAGCTACTCGCACGCAAAGTTGGCAAAATCGCTAAAAGTTGCCAAATCAACCGTTACAAATGTAATTAAAGTGTTTGGGGAACGTTTGTCGACAGCCAGGAAGTCTGGATCGGGGGGAAATCGAAAACCGGAAGCCGCTGAGACGACAAAGAGAGTTGCCGGTAGTTTCAAGCGAAAGCCTAACCTCTCTCTCCGAGATGCCGCAAATAAGCTGGGTGTATCGTCTACAACCGTGCATCGAGCCAAAAAACGAGCCGGACTATCGACTTACAAGAAGGTAGTGACTCCAAATCGCGATGATAAACAAAATACGACGGCCAAAGCGCGATCCCGGAGGCTGTACACGACGATGCTGACGAAGTTTGACTGCGTGGTAATGGACGACGAAACCTACGTCAAAGCCGACTACAAGCAGCTTCCGGGACAGGAGTTTTATACGGCAAAAGGAAGGGGAAAGGTAGCAGATGTTTTCAAGCACATGAAACTGTCAAAGTTCGCAAAGAAATATCTGGTTTGGCAAGCCATCTGTACCTGTGGCTTGAAAAGCAGCATTTTCATAGCTTCCGGGACTGTCAACCAAGAAATTTACGTGAAAGAGTGTTTGAATAAACGTCTGCTGCCTTTCCTGAAGAAACACGGTTGTTCCGGATTTGGCATCTTGCCATTACGGTAAAAAGGCCATGGTGTGGTACGCCGCCAACAACGTGCAGGTGGTTCCCAAGGACAAGAACCCTCCCAACACGCCAGAGCTCCGCCCAATTGAGAAATACTGGGCTATTGTCAAGCGGAACCTAAAGAAGACCAAAAAAACTGCTAAGGGCGAGCAGCAGTTCAAGGCAAACTGGCTTTCTGCGGCGAAGAAGGTGGACAAGGTGGCTGTACAAAATCTGATGGTAGGGGTCAAGCGTAAGGCCCGGCAATTCGGATTTGGAAAAGCGGAAGCCTAACTGAATATTTTTCCTGAATTTTATACTAATTGAACTTGAAAAAGAAATTTAATTTGATTTTTTAAATAAACGATTTCACCGATTTACACGCGTTTTCCCTTTACCCAAATTTTGACCGTATCACCCTTTAGAAGATCAGGAATTTTTGAAAAAGTTGAGATAGTTTCTTAGGACTTCAGGGAACTTCGCATCAGTTTGTCAGAGATCTTACCTTAATGAACGTCCTGGAAATTTCCTTCAGGAGCCTACCCAGATGTTCACGAATATTCGTGCAACACGTTGAGGTCCTTCTTTGTTTTATTTTTAATAATTACTTTATTTTATTAGGCACAATCGAATAAACTTTACAGTGCCGAGATCTATTGTTCACTATACAAAATATCTTAAAACTACAGACGAGGCACAATAAAAAAATATCTTCAGTTATTCAGAACGGGATTCACTTCCAGTTGTTTCCAAGTATGCAACATCGCCAAAGGGGGGCTGTTGGGTGGTAGTAGAAAGTCCTAAATTTTGTGAATATTCCGTTCCGAATGGATTTAGAAGCTTATTACAAAACTCCTGTTGATTTTGAAACATATTAGCTTTAAGACTAAATTTAGATAGGTTTAGAATTCTTACTATAGTGTTCACTACCACTCAACTGTGTTGTTGTCTTTATAAGACACTTTTAGGCCCCGGAACCGCTAGGATCTAGAGAAGGACCTGCCAAAGCCCCAAGCTGCTGGTCTACGCCTACGACAGCTCCCGGGGTGGGCACTCACGGCCTCTGATAGTTCCGGGTCTCAAGGCGTACGGGCGTGGGAGAGTTTTCGGACAAGGGATCCTATCAAACGCTACGGTCAACGGTTAAATTATTTATTAATTGATGACAAACAAACCTGACTGGGCTTAGGTGGTGACGGGTAGCGATCGGGTGATTGTCGGGTGGCAGTAGGATGGCGTCCGGTAGGCGACCAAGTGGTGGCCGGGTGGTGTCCCGGTAGTGACTGGATGGTCGCCGGTAGTAGCCGGATGGCACTCGTACGACGGCCGGGTATACTGCCGGATGAAGGCGAGTTCGGTCGGAGGGGGCGGCTGAGTGCGGCCGGATGAAGACCGAGTTGTGGCCGGGTTGGCGGCCGGAGGGAGGCGAGTTTGGTCACGGGGGGAGCGGCTGAGTGCGGCCGGATGAAGACCGAGTTACGGCCAGGTGGCCGGTTACTTAGAGCAGCTGGAAGG